GGTAAGGTACGAGCTGCCAAGCGTCTGCCTAGAAAATCCCATACATGCTCGATGGGATTGAGATCCGGAGATCGTGCCGGCCAATCCATACGTTCAATATCCTCACTCTCTAAGAGCTGTTCGGCAGCTACTGTGCGATGACATGGTGTATTGTCATCTATGAAAAGGAACTGCGGACCCATAGCACCTCTAAAAAGACGCACATATGGAAGAAGAATCTCGTTACAATAACGGGTCCCGTTGACTGAACCTGCGTCGAAGATTTGAAGGTCTGTACGACTACCAAGCATGATGCCTCCCCAAGCGAGAACACCGCCACCTCCATACCTGTCCCTTTCAATGATGTTCGAGGGATGATTGCGGCTTCCCCGCTCTCTCCATATGAGTATGCGATGAAATCGCTACTCAGACTGAATCTGCTCTCATCTGTAAAGAGTACTCGTCCCCATTCATTGTCTCTCCAATTCCGGTGTTCCCGGCACCACAGAGAACGCCTTTTCTGATGGGCAGGCGTTAGAGGTACACACCGTACAGGGTGTCGTATAAACAGATCACCACCGTGCAGTCTTCTGCCCACGGTAAAACGCGATATCAGTCGTCCAGTTGCCTGTGTCGTGTGTCTAGCGATTTCTCCCGCTGTCTGCCACCTGTTTCTTCTGGCCTGTAAGGCAATATACCAGTCATCTGGGGGTGTGGTTCCTCGTGGACGACCACTACTAAACCCCCAGATAGCTGTTCCTGTAGTTTGAAATTGTCTCCAAAGTCGTGAAACGATGCTCTGAGCAATTCCGAACTCTGCAGCCACACTTGTCACACTGCTGCCTTCCTCCAACTTCCCAATGATTCGACCTCGTGTAAAAGCATTCATATGTCGTCTAACAGATTGATTATTCGCCATTTCTTGCTGAGGCAGCAACTCGGTGTCATTTTAACTGCTATACGGTGTGTAATCTCTCTGCCAGAAATACTGATCTTACACCGACAACATGCTTTATACTACTACTCAGACACTCCCCCTTATGTCTACCTGCATATCTGTGCATGTGCTAAAGTACATCACCTTACTTAATCTCCTGATTGGTCTTTCTGTTCGCTCTGCCTCTTCGTTCAGCTGATATGCTAATTTTTCGACTTCGTCCTTAATTTTTGCACACCAGTGTATAGCCTAATGCTCTCTTGAGAGATTCACTACTGTTGGCACAAAAAATCTTTAACATGAAAAATAATGATTGCATATTTAAGACACAAGTTCTGTCATAGTGCATTAATATTTATCACCTTGGTCCATCCCGAGAAAATACCAAAAATGCATAATTATATAACATATTAACAGAAATTGAATTCCACTCGGTAATAAGGCATATCAAAAACCTCAGGTGGTAGAAGAGGATTGTTAAGACAGTCTCGTTACTAGAAATATTTTCTCAACCGACATTAAGAATGTGCTAACTCATTTACAAATGGAATTAGCAGACATTTAATGCAAACAAACTACTAAAACGAAAATTTAGTGATGTGGATATCCCAAATTTTCACAAATACTTCCGTGTTTCATCACCAGAAAGCCACAATTTGCATTGTATGTGATTTTCATGTTTTGTTGTATGTTCCAGAATGAACAATTTTTCTCACTCAGGGTTTGTAGCCACATTTTATTTTAAAAAAATAAGCACTTTTCAAGCACATTTTAAGAAAAAAATAAGCACCTGTCTAATTACATTATACACAACTGCATAACCTTAAAAGAAAAATTAGACTTGCAATTTAAAATATGAGCAATGCAATATTTATTAAGAGAATGAGCATTACCTCAACCATGTAAAACAATTTTTTTTTTAAATTTTAAATGACAGTTCAATTTACAGAATTAGTTTACAATGAGAGAAAAAAAAAACTATGCAGAACTAAACTATATTACAAGATTTAATGATGAAATTTCAGTTCAAAATATAGAAAATAAATAATAAGCCATATTAATTGTATTCGCTTGGCACATAATAATAAATACAATTTATTTTTCCACTCATATTAATATTTAAATAATTTAACTTAAATCAAAATTCTGAACATTTTCTAAATTTTCATTGCAGAACAGTTTTCCCTTAATATATATTCCAAGCAAAGTAATTTAAGTAAAAAAGAGGAACTTTTCTGAAATCAGGAGACAGGAAATTGCTTAATGCAGTCATCCTTTAACAGTAAAAGCTTAACTAACCCCATACTCAGAAATTGCCGAATATTCCGTATAGTCGAGCGTAACTGAAAAAAGAGAAGGGGGGGATTGTAGCCGTTCTTTAGATTTCTCAGCTAAATAAATGATTTTGACATTTCTATATGTGCATCTTATAAAAATAGACCAACGGAACTGAGAAATATTCTGCTTAGAAAGCACAGTAAAACTCTTTTAAGTGTTCATAAATAAATCTAAGACCGAACATCAAAATTAATTAATTTTCTCTGCAAAATACCGCAAATGTTATTGTGCAATTTTTCCATATGTGATATTACGCATTCGGAATCAACAGCTGCCTGTATTCGAAGAATAAAGAACTAAATAAAGAGACTTACTAATCCGGGTTGTTTTTGATTCTAATTTTGAACAGACTGCGTTAAATTTGAGAAATAGAATCATTCTTTGCTTGGGTTGGGTAGACTGCAAAACTTTTAGTCCTATTCAATCCAGATTGGACAGTGACGAAAAAAAAAAAAGTCCGCTGCTTCAATATTAGAGATTTTGCGGAGGGAAAGGGGAGAACTTTCCAACCTCCGTACTGTACAGTCAAAAGTCGCTAATCCGGACTCGTCGGGACTTCGGCGATTCCGGATTATCGATTTTTCCGGATTATAGATCATCAGTTTAAATCTGGTAAGATGGCATGCAGAAATTACAAAATTAAAAATATGAAACCGTAATTTATGAAATAAAGAACAATTATGATCTAAAGGGTATCAAAATTTACAAAAAGAAAAAGCTTAATATTTATTTGTTTACTTTATTAAACCTTTCTTTCAATGCAAGTTGTTTAAGTTGCTTTGTTTCATATGATAATACTTTCCCTTTAATTCTATTAAACAGACATAATTTCTTGTTTAGTTACAAAGTTCCGCTGTTCAAGTCCTATAATTGCTGTGTTGAGAATACCGACTAATTTGTCAATCGAAATTTTTTTGTTTTCAATAACCTCTGTGTCACTTTCTTCACTATCGGAAACGAATTATAATGACGAGGAACTAAATTTAAATCATATCAAAGACGGAGTACATCGATATGAAATACTACATTTAGTAAGGAATTATAAGCCAAATAAAATAAAAACATCTGACCTGAAGATAAGGATAGTGCTGACAAATCAACTTCCAATTCATTGCGTTCCCCCCTACCCCCTACCCCCCGCCACAGAGCAGCGTGAAATTGATAAACAGATTTCGGATTTCGAAACGTACTTTCGCTTTGTAGATCCTTTACATATTAGTAAATATACATCGGATATTCTATTTGACATAATCGAAAGTTCAAGCTTACTTTTATAAAATTGCTTTAACAGTCTGCAAAAAATAATAAGCTGGATCCAATTCGAAGATTAAGGAACAGCGCAATCTGCACTATTAACTGAATTAGATAATTTTAGCTTAGCTTATACCGTCTGTTATACATTAAACGTGCATGCATAAGCATATTATGCGCATGCGCACACGCATATTCGCAGCCGTAAAGGTCTTAGGGCACGCGTAAACGCCTATGCGCATGTGTCAACGCGACGCATGCACAGAAAGTTTGTAGCTTTGAGGTCCGAATTAATGACTTTTGACTGTATTGGCAAAAAAAAAAAAAGTACTATTCGATTACTTTCCTTTTATTTAAGCCATTCCGAATATTATTCATTAGAAAGCTAATCTGTGTAAAAATACACCCATTTTTGGAAGTTTATCTACACTTCAGCACCTACTGCAACTATATTATTATAAATATTCATACATATGCTCATAATATAAGCAAAATGATCATAATAAACACGAATATGAACTGACCATGTGGAACGAGAATGCAAATTATTAAAATCTTGATAGAAATTCAAACGTGTGTAGTATTTGGGTGGGAGGAAAAGAATTCCGAATGTACCGGAATTTTCTACGGTTTTCGCAATTCTTTGAGCGATGTGCACCTGTCTGTACTATCGCGCGCACCATATAGGTTACGTTAATGCAGAGAAAGGGAGAAAAGCTATTTCCGGGAGTATGATTCACCATCTGACATTCCATATAAGGAAGAAAAGTTGTTTATTTAGTTTCGGCTTTGGTACAGGGGGGAAAATGTGCATTCATTAAGAAAAGCACTAAAAGCAGAAAATAAGGACTAAATAAAAAACAAAAAAATAAGGCCTTTAAAGAAAAAGTAAGCACCTATAAGGGCCTTTATATTTTATTTTCAAATATAAGGACTTATAAGCACTTGTAAGGACCGCTACGAACCCTGTCACTTATGAAAAGAAACAAGCCACCAGGCAGTTCCAGGTGAACAGATATACATCTAACCTCTGCTCTGAAAATCGCTACTATGAGCAGCATGTCTCAAGACATGCAAAAACTAGTTACAGGAAAAAGAAGCTAATATGTTAGGAAATAATAATAGGTATTGATTTGCTATAAGATTTTACATGCCTACTCTCTTTTTAAATATATCATTAAGCATGAAAATGGCTACCCCCCCACATGGTCCGCTCTACTGTACACTTATAACCATCTGTTTCATTTAATGTAATGAATCTGACATGTCTGATGTTAACCTACACAGAATGTTTTGAAAATTATGTCTGATGTACTTTAAAAATGCCAATCTAATAAAAACACTTTATAAAATAAGCTGGACACGTTGCTTAAGCAAGAATATATGGCTATGAAAGGCTAAATAACATCGAATAAAGGATACAAAAATATTAAAATTAATGAAATGTGATAAATAATTCAGATATGACAGACATATTAAAGAAGGATAATAATACCAGTGATGGTTTGATGACAATATAATTTAAACGTATCAGCTTCTAAAACTTCAATTCCTGAAGAATGTGGTTCTGGGGATAACTGAGATGCTATTGCAAACAATCTGAAAGAAGGAGGAAGAAAATAATAAACACATTTGTGTAACATAAAATACAAATTTTTAAATTAGACTTTTTAGCACTGTTCTGTTATCAGGACTGGATTCAGAAATGTATATATGCATGCCTGTATGTATAGATGCATGTATATATATATGCACATATGTATATGTGTGCATACATACTGCAACATATATATACTGTGTATGCACAAAACATATGAGTACCAACTTTTTTTTTAAAACACTGCACACAACACTTTTAAACACAAACTAAAAAATAGGACTGTATAAAATTGAGCTGCAATCATTTTGCTATACTGTATATTTGAACCACGGAAGAAGGCAGGAGAGTAGAGGCCCTGACCAATTTCTTCCAAGTACTGGCTTAAGTTAGACACATAGCTTGCCTTGATAATGAAAGTATCAATTTACCACCGAGTAACAGAAGTTGGTACTTTTCCGTTTCGCTGGCGCAAATCTCGCCAAGCAGACTTTGTTGGCGACAGCATACAGTATACACATAAAAAAATTTTAACAAATGTTAGTTCTAAGAATTTTTTATTTTGAAGGCATAAGCATTTTAATATGGTTTAAAATTTTGTAAAAAAACAATAAATTAGACAATAAATTTGTAAATAGACATTAATTTAAGAATTTGCTATGCTTTCATGGTTCAACATCCTGATTTGCTGGTTCGTATCACGTGACCCCCAAGTGATCTCATGTAAACTATGCTACAAAAATATAATTCTCTCAGTAATTATCTACATTAATTTCAAGTTAAATCTTAAAATAAATCTTATGGATTACAAGTTTAAATGCAAGAATTATTTCAATTCGTACGAATAGCTTACTCAGAAATTATGTAAAACCACAGTGCTTTACTTCGCTAGTGTGTTTTCATTAGATTTGATGAATTTAATCTTTGATTTTGCCTTTTCTATATTTTCACCTTTGAGTGAGTTTTGTGATTGCATCCTAATTAATTACCGCGAATGGTCTTAGGGCATAAAATTTAACTAGTAAAAATTCTATGTAATTGTATGCCAGTATTGAAAGAAACAATGCATCTGATAAGAAATGGCTGCGACTTGTTTTGAAAATGAAAAGTAAAAGGTTACCAGTGAAGATATTCTGTTTGGCATCAGTTGTACCATTATTGGCGACTTTATCGTTTGCGCTGGCAAAACAGAGAAGTACCCAGAAGTTTAACTTCATTTGGAAGTTAATTAAAATTTCATCTAAAATTTCAAATATAATAATAAAAGCATATATAAATTCCTTTTAAAATACTACAAATAATAGTATTAACAATGACAGATGTAACTTTTTTAAAATCATATTTTGTTCTAAATGGTATAAAATACTACTACTTTCAAGTGCTCACAGTAATTTTTAACTGAATGAAATATACACTCTTAATTATATTAAGTTTAACAATAATTTCAAAAGAATTTTTTGCAGTATAAATATAATTAGAAAGAAAGATATTTCTTCCTAATTTGATTTCACTTCACTCTTTTTTTGTATGTGGGTGTGTGTTTCTTGCAATTCTTCTGTTTCTCCTTTTGTAATGTTAATTCTTTAAAAGCTCTGGTAAAAATTAATGCTGTTATTTTCACTACACAAACTTTATTGCACATACATAAAAAGAACTTGAAAAAAATTATATTAAATCAAGAACAAATAACAGTAATTGCTGACTAGCAAACACTATTTTCTTAAAGGATTTCAAATATTTTCATTACTGATAGTTTAAAATTTGCAACTTTTTTAATTTACTGGAATATTTATTGCTGTAAAAAATTATCTATTGAAATAACTTACGAATGGAAAGTACTAGCCAAAACAATTTTCTCATTTGTTCCAAGTCTTGGACGACCAAATTTGATGTTTATAGGATAATTCTGTTCATTCTTCAAAATATCAAACACATCTCTACCATCACTTAGTTTACAGCCACTGACAGGAATTCCATTGATAGCCAAAACAATGTGACCAACTGAAAAATATATTAGCACATAATAAGCTAAAAAATTACACAATAAATTTGAACTGTACATAATAACTTAATTAGGTTTATGGTAACTTTAAAATGTTTCTAAATGCCCATTAGCTGAAACAGTGATTAAAATTTTAGTTGAAAAACAAGAACATATATATATATATATATATATACAGAGGTTCAATAGGATTTTATTTTGAATAACATATGGCAAATAAGTTCCATGTTTTGAGAAACAAAGATATATACATTCAAACACTTTTTATTAATTTAAATTTCATTTCTACCATTTTAATGTTTTCATTATGAAGTGCTTATTCCTTTGCTTATTTAAGATTTCTTAGTTGTTAATTTAGAGCACATAACAAAACTTGGTTAGGGTAGATTGAAGGGTGCTCCTTGTATTATCTCGAAGTTGTTGTTTAATTTATCACCAATCTGTTGTTTGATTTATAGTAACTGAGTAGTTGAATTTTATGGAAACCTTAGTATGACGTAATTGGTTGTGTGATTGCAGTTAATTTTGTATTATGCGAAAAGATTTGAAGGGCTTGTGGTATGTGTTGGTTAGGAAGTACATTGCTTATTTTGTGGTTTAGACAGTAGAATGGCTGAATGTGGTCAGATTAATTTGAAGTTCCTGTATGATTTGGAATGAAAAGGGAAAAGAGCATTAACTGACTGATGTGTAACGAAGGTTTTACTTAGTAGCCATTATAAGTCTCCTGTTTGTTGGAAGGAAATGGTTGCACATCTTAGGATATCAGCACTACGGGAGGATATTTTTTACTCATATTTTTGTGAATTTATGTGGTGATGCCGATATACGAATTCTAGTTTAGATCATTTTAGGAAGTTTTTGGATGCTGTTAAGAAATTTTTCGTGCCACAGACTGAAGATGCAGAAACTTCTAAATAAGGTAAGCTTTGTGTAGTGCTTAGATGCATAACATGAATTTCGTTTTTTGTGTTATTTTATTGTTTTATTTAAAATGTAGTTTATTGAGATTATGTATTTTTTATTTGGCTCTACTGCAGAACTGGGTGCTCTTTTGACCTTTTTAAGTGAAAATAGTTTGATGTATACATGGACAAAGTCAAGGGAGTGTGCAATGCCCAGTTTGTGCAATTCTCTGATTTTTTTTTAAATAGGTCATTGTGTGCATAGATACTGAGTTTGTGCAATTCTTTGACTTGTTATTTTGTCTTTGTGTAGCGACAATTTTTGGCACAAAAATTTCTGCTACACAAAGCTAAAATAACAAGTCAAAGAACTGCACAATCTCAGTATCCATGTACTGCCAAAAATCGCCAAGGAACACCTGTAAATATATTTTTACCCAAAACTTATTTTAATAATAATTTTAATTTGTGGTATTTGCATATTATCCCATTGATTACAAAAGTTGGTTACCAATGAACCATTAAAACTGGGAGAGATTCCGCCAAAGTTGTGGCAATCGTTCTAGCAGAATTCTATAAGAACTAGTGCCTCTTCATTTAATAAACAATTAGTATTTGACCTGCTTTATTTTTTCTCTTTGTAAAACGACTTTTGTTGGTTTGAACTATTTTATTAGGCTTCCAGAAGCTTTGTTTAGAAATACTACATACTTCCCACAGGTAACTGTTCCAATCTATTTTATCAGCCACATTCAGCTGATCATATCACATCCATTAATATAGACCTTTATTAATGGCAGGACCCTATAGCTTATTGAATATAATCCACTGCCTTATTGTTCTGTAGAAGATATGTTTTAAATTTTAATATTTTTTTTTCAAAATTCAAGAACAAAATATAGTAAGTTAATTTATTTATTTGTGCATACAAGCAAAAGCTGGCTTATCAGTTCTGATTGCATAAAACAAAAGTGCAGATGTTATGAGTGTGTTGCGACATCACACTTTAATCATGAATGGTGCTTAATCTTGCTGCCTGGCAAGTTTCGTGATTGACAAGATAATATGTAAGTACCTAATTTCTTTGACAGTATATTTAATTATTTATCTGCACATACATATTTCATCCTTGAGAAACGATATATTCACAAAATATATACGCAAATATACATAAAATAAACAAATGCTTAATTTTTAGTGATTAGGTATTTTGAAAAAGTGTTCTTATTTTTCAATTTTAATGACTCGCTCTTAATTCAGTGTATTTTTGCTCAGAATTCAACTTTATGTTAAAGCTTATTTAAATGTTGCATATAGTCATATATTCTGAAGAAAATGAATTTCTGTACATATTTGTTCTGCTATTTCAGCTAAAGCATTTTGAAACATTTTCAGTAGGTATTTTTCATCCTTATTTCAAAGATAAAGCATTTAATTCAGCTAAAATATTTAGGAACAAAGTGAAAAAATTTCATCAGAAACACAATTGAGCTAAAAATCAAAATGGTAATAAAAAAAAGCATCTCCCTTTCAAAAATATCGAATCACTATTCCAGTTAACAGGCATTCAGAAACATTGTAGTATGTATTTTTCATCTCTGTTTCTGTATCTATACAGTAAAGCATTCTCATTCAATTGAAATAGTAAAAAAAATATAAATGCTCATAAAAACATAGCTCGCCTGATAGTCAAGACAGGAAAAAAATGGCATTCTCCTAAAAGAGTGGATTTATATCGCCAAATTTTCACCAAGTTATTCACTCTTATTTAAATAATAGTGATAGTCACCAAGATTCACTCTTATTTAAATAATAGCCAAAACTTTACTGGAATTTTTTTCATTCACACACAAACCAAAAATAATATTGAAATGCAATATTAATCCTCTTTTTGCCATTGCTATCTCTAGATACTCCCTGAACATTACTTTCAAGTCTGCCAACAGCCAAGTGGTAAAATCACTGGACATTAGTAATTTGACCTGGATTCAATTCCAGGTGCACTTATTATTGATAAAGAAACACTTTCCATTAAGAGGTTATCACTTCTAGCGACAGTCCCTGCTATACGGTACTCCTAAGGGACTGGTAAATTTTATTAAGATTGAGTATTTATAAATAAAATAACCATATGAAAAAGCTCAAAATCAAACCGTACACATTTTACAAACCTTTAATGTTATCCATCTGCCCAAATGTTACAACAGTTCGATTATTCACATTTTCAAGAACCAGATCTAATGGATAGCTAAAAGTTTTTTCACATTCAATGGGAACAGCATTGTGATCATACTGATATATCATACCACCGGCTTTACTTACGATATAAACACTTACTACAGCCATGAAAAAATCGTAAATACTAAATTCAAAATAACAGAAAAAACACTACACAATTATTTCGAGCATTCAATGTTTACATTCGGCATTCAACAAAACGTCACGCCTTCACTATTGACAAAATAAAGTAGACAAATGACTTCTTTTGCATGTGCTAAGTCTTTCTGCCAGTAGGCGAAAATTAGGAAAAGAGCAATGAGATACATTCCGCAGGACTAAAGAGAAGGGCTAGCTCATAGAGCGTTTCCCCCTGAAACAGGCAGTGAGGAGTGATGACGTAGCAATGATGCAATGATGGCGTTTAACTTCACTAGGTGATGGATGGTCGTTAAACCTACCAAACCCTCGAATCTGACTAAAGAGACCTTCAAGTGCATCCTGAGTTAATCTAGAGGTTAAAATATATTTAGCATCATACGATGATTTCAAATCCTGGTGTAGGCCAAAAAGAGAATTTATTGAAATTATTATTCCTTTTTGGATAGGCAGTAAGTTGGTTTTTCCCTGAACTCTTAATCCACCAATGACTTTCTTCATTAATTCCAAAACTTGAATTTGTTTTTCACGATGTTCATTTAATCCAAATGCTGCTTTAAGTATTTTATCTGAAGGAGGGTATGTTATGTTTATTCATAATATCGAAAAAATTGTCGATTAACTCAAAGAAGTCGGATGCTTTTTTATTTCCTGTGAGGTGAAGTATACCTTTTGCTGTAGTTCTTGAAAATAATGTTTTCGCTGGAGCGACTTTTTGTCTCTCGTTTCCCTTGACCATTAAATAATTTGTTTTTAATTTGTGACACAATTTAATTTCTCCTGAATCTTTATTTAAAACCTCTGTATATAATCTTAACATTTAAAACAGTTCCATCTTCTAAAACAAATCCTTTATCTAAAAAGTGGTTTCTCATTAATTTGAGGCAGGTGCGCTAAATCTGCAAAAACCCATATTTTTTGCATTTGCAGTACGGGATTTGGAATACTGGATTTGGAAACAGAACTATTAATCGAAATTTGTAACTTCTTTCCACAAAGTAGTAGATCCTCCTAAATCAGACACTATTGCTTTCACTTCTACTCCAGATGATTGAATATGTTCTTATGAGTTGAAAAAAATCTTTCTTCATTGGAGTGTTAAAATTTTCAAAAAATATTGGGTTGCTTTTCCACTGCGAAATGAGACCTCTGATTAAAACAAACTGCACTTTTTGAAAAGGACCGAGAATTTGGTCCAGTTTGGAATCATAGCAAAGTTTAGCAGAGTTTTGAATCTATGTGCATTTCGTCGAAACTGAGAACGCATATTTTTTCTACAGAATTCAAATATTGGCATCTTTCCTTCATTACAGCAAGAACATCACTCTGAATTCCTGGACTACATGAAAATTTAGCGCACCATCTCTTTAATGTGCTAGTGCTAGGTAAAGGAATTCCCATTTTTTCTTTCCAAAAATCGTAGCTTTTAGATGACAGAGCTCTTATGACAATGCAACGTGAAATATCTTCACTAGTCCACCTGATTTTTTTCCTTCTTTTCTAGCAATGCGTTAATCTGCGTCTTTGTAGAAATATGCTTTAGACGTTTTTCCAAATTCTCCGATCAGTTCTGTTTTTTCCTAAATTTCGCTGTTTGGGATTTTAATTTTTGAGTTTCCGATACAAATTTCTTTCTAGATGTCGTCCACCTTCTTTGTCGCTGAGCAAACATTATAAAATTTTTCTTTTCTCTATTTTTCAATATTTTATTACAATTTTCTAAGGATATTATTTTGTTCTTCAAATTATCAATACATTCTTGTTTATCTTTACACTTAGGGCACTCAGGGATATTGTCACATAGGGCATTGTCACTTTTGAGTTTTATTTCAAAATCATTCACATTTGATTTCTTATTGTCAACTTCAATTTCGTTTCGTCTCGGCCTCAAAATAAATTTTCTTTTGGCTTAATTCGTGTAGTCTTTCAAAAGCACTCTGCATTAGTTTTCTTTTCAAATGTCTCCGATTTCTTGGTGTTATTTCGTTTACTGCACACGATAAATTTACTTTCGGCACAGCATTGCATTTCAACAGTTTCTTTTGCGGCAATCCAAGCAAGCGATTTCTCATGTCATCTTCATAATCACTGCACAGAAAATGTTCGCTGCAAATTCTTGCGTTTTTCACATTATCCTGTCTTCGACATTTATGTACCCATTCTTTCGACAAAAGCAAATTGTCCTTTGGGAAAGCATGAAATACAATATCTCTTCCTTTCGTATTTCTATAAGTGTTACGGCACGTTGCTACAGCCCAAGAAGCCATATTACATAAAGGATACTTTAAATATAGAATTTAAAAGGAAAACTGACTAAAACTACTATATATATATACACACAAATTATTTTAAATATTTGCATTATTAGAAAACAAATATGTATGATTAAAATTAATTTGGGATATGCGATCTCCAGAAAATCGTGTCGCAACTGAATGAAACTACAGTTTTAAAGGCAGGCGCGAAATCAGAGCAGGTGCAACAGAGACACGTCAGATTACTTCCAGTTCCCCCCCCCTCCATGAGGTTCGCGTCGGCGCGGAGTCGAACAAAAGAATGACCTAGCCCTTCTATTTATCCCTGTACATTCCGCAAGAGAAGAAGAAAATGTGGTTACGTGGTTTAATAACAACAACATCCGCATGTGCTATGTTTACAATGGAGCGGATTATTAATTCCGCTGGGTACTACTTAGTCGGTTGCACGGATTTTTGGAGATTTACATTGGCGCAATTGTTGGCGCGGTTTTACAGTCGTCAGCCATCTTGAAAAATGCTGTTTTTACGTATTTATGCATATAGTAAAGTATTTGAAACTTTAAAATAATAAATATCGTTAAAAATATTGGATTAATTTTTTGTTGAAAACGTTGTTTTTTAAGATGGCTGGCAAATGTAAATAAATACATTTACTAAGAGTATAAAATGCTAAAGTAAGCTTAAATTATTACTTTCATATAATAGAATAAAAACACCGCTATGAAAACTTTTCGCCAACATTTAATTGGATTAGAATATTACTTAAATTGAATATCGAATTAAAAATATTATACTAACGTTTAAAAGAATTAAAATATTACTTAAATACTTTAAAATAAGTTTTATAGGATTTAATTATTTAACATTAAAACATATGTGGCAATAAATATCTCAGGAATTTTTGAAAACATTCTATTAATTTTTTAATAAAAATTGAAGTATACAATTATAAAGTAAAAGAAAATTATGTACTTACATTTTTAAAAGTATTTCACCTGTCGTATATTGATAAGTACTTCCCCCCCCCCGAAAAAAAAAAACGGTCTTCTAACAATCTTCATCTGTGATCCACCTCTCTCGCATTTTATAGAAGAATCAGTTTCCCTTCAAAAGCCTTCTACAAAAGCAAATATAAAACCTCCTCTTAAGCAGATAACTTTCATGTGCTTTGCCTAAATTAAACAACCTAAATAATTTCTAAGTTATAACATAAATTATCATATCTCAGATGCTAATTAATTTAAAAGCAAAATAAGTAATGCTAATTTTTATTGTCGAACTGCATTTGAAATGCAGGCAACTTATATATAAATTAAATTTTACAACAAATGTCAAAGCGCTATCGTATGAATGAAATGAAAGTGAGAAAACGAAAATGCATAAATAAAATCTATGTATTTGTTATAAAAAATGTATTTTTACCTTAATTTCATGGTTCTTAGAGGCTTTTTGATTTTATTATCACTTTAGAATAGAAAATTTTACATGACTTCTACATCATTATAGCAATGTATAAATATTATTAAATCAAACTGAATCATGAAAGTAAGGCAGTTTGATTTAATAATATTCGAGAAATGAATTGGCACCCTAAAATGTACTCCATGAAAACATTATTCTTCTTAGTTTAATTTATATAGTGCATATGTTTTGCCTTAATCAAACAACCTAATTTTCATTTCGAAATGATAATGAAAATTATTACATTTGATCTGGTTAACTTAAAGCAAAATTAGCAATGTCAAATTTTTATTGTTTGAATGTAGTCAAATAATGTGCAAATTAGATTTCAAAACATTATTAAATTATATATGAATGAAATGAGAGAAATGACAATACACACACACACACATATAGTATAAAAAATCCATTTATTTGGTGGAAAAATAAAAGAGATACTTTACCTTGATGTAACCCTAAATTTATTTTGAAAGTTTTTTTATAGTTAGTTGCACATGTGGACAATAAGATGCCACAAGAGAGTCACTGTTTAAAGCTTCTAAATTTTATTCTAATTAATGAAAAAAGAATTTTGAGGGAATACAGAGATATCAAATCATGATTGTATGTGCAAACTGCATTTCGAAGAGCATTTTATTGATACATTTTACAGCCATACTGTCAGAGTTGAGGAAACAAAAATTTTATGAGGCAAATCATTACATAAACCTGAAGCAATACTTATCATATTTAACGAATCTTACGCTATTCAGAACTACAATGATCAGCTTTGATCACTGAAATAGTGAAAGATCTTGATCACATTTATTGCATCAATTTTTTGACATTGTTGTACAATAATGGCAAAAATGGTTGACAAAATATTATTAAACAGGCCAATGTCAATGCAGATGATATTTGCAGTTGGGGGGGGGAGTTTTCATTCATTGAAAGGTGATATTTCTTGTATCTTGAAATTCTAGCTTAAGTACAGCTTCTTTTCATCGAGTTCTATGAAGTTTTAAAAATTTACCTTTCTGACTTGTGTTTTGCTTGCTTGTTTAAAGCTTTTGTGTAAAAATGAAATCGTGTGATAATATAAAATCTTAGAATTTTTTTGGTCAGCATTATTTTATGTAAATCACAACCTACATAATGACTTAATTTGAGCGTTGATACAAATTGTACAACACTGCTTCTTTCTATTATATTTACATTAAAAAAATTCACAAAACACTTCTCAAGATATTCAATCAATGCATATAAACTATTTGAAGGATGTGTAAGATTCTTTTTACTAACTAAAGAAATAAATTCAGAATTTACTGTGCTTTCTAGTCCTACATTTCTTAAAACTTCTGAACAAGCAATACATTTCTCCACTTTAATCCACTTTC